CTGTTTGGCAACTTGAACTTTCAGCTCCCTCCAAAGATTTTCATTCGGATTAAGGTCTAGAGACTGGCTACACTCCAGGACCTTAATGTGTTTCTTCTTGAGCCACTCCTTTGTTGCCTTGGCCGTGTGTTTTGGGTCATTGTCATGCTGGAACACCCATCCACAACCCATTTTCAATTCCCTGGCTGAGGGAAGAAGGTTCTCACCCAAGATTTGACGGTACATTGCCCCATCCATCGTCCCTTTGATGCGGTGCAGTTGTCCTGACCCCTTAGCAGAAAAACACCCCCAAAGCAGAATGTTTCCACCACCATGTTTGACAGTTGGGATGGTGTTCTTGGGGTCATAGGCAGCATTCCTCCTCTTCCAAACGCGGTGAGTTGATGCCAAAGAGCTCGATTTTGGTCTCATCTGACCACAACACTTTCAACCAGTCCTTCTCTGCATCATTCAGATGGTCAGTGGCAAACTTCAGATGGGCCTGGACATGTGCTTTCTTGAGCAGAGGGACCTTGCAGGATTTTAGTCCTTGTCGGCATAGTGTGTTACCAATTGTTTTCTTGGTGACTGTGGTCCCAGCTTCCTGGAGATCATTGACAAAGTCCTCACGTGTAGTTCTGGGATGATTCCTCACTGTTCTCATGATCATTGACACTCCACGAGGTGAGATCTTGCATGGTGCACCAGACCTAGGGAGACAGACAGTTGTTTTGTGTTTCTTCCATTTGGAATGATTGCACCAACTGTTGGCACCTTCTCACCAAGCTGCTTGGCGATAGTTTGGTAGCCCAGTCCAGCCATGTGTAGGTCTATAATCTTGCCCCTGACATCCTTGGACAGCTCTTTGCCATGGTGGAGAGTTTGGAATCTGATTGTTTGATTGCTCCTGTGGACAGGTGTCTTTTATACAGGTAACAAAATGATTAGCAGCACTCCCTTTAAGAGACTGCTTCTAATCTCAGCTTGTTACCTGTATGAAAGACACCTGGTAGCCACAAATCCTGCTGAATGATGGGGATCAAATACTTATTTCCCTCATGAACATGCAAATCAGTGCATAATTTGATAGACATGCATTTCTTTAGAATTTTTTGTTGCTATTCTGTTTCTCATTGTTACAATACACCTACCATTCAATTTTTAGACTGATAATTTCTTTGTGAGTGGGCAGATTCAAAATCAGCAGGGGATCAAATACTTATTTCCCTCACTGTATATACTTGGTATTGCTCCTGGTCGTTGAAGGCCCATGGGGAATTGTATATTTCTTTCTACTCTGTACAGGGAGTCTCACATTTAGCACCTCCTAGACATAGATAAGGGCATTTAAACTAGGGTTCTGCGACACTGTTCATATGTATTTTCCACTAGTATCCATAGTGTTTCTACCGAGCCCCAATGCACATTTAGGGGTTTGTATTTTTATTTTTTTTTATTTTAGACTTACATCTAACTAATCACGCTAATGTCCCATGAGCCGTAGGTATGAAAGTTATTTCAGGGGTTCCTCAGGCATAAAAAGATTGGGAAAGGCCAATTTAGATTATGAGAAAGAATACACCATGTCAATTTTAAGTGTCATTTGTTCAAATTTATATAGCTGTAGCTCAAGCCTTGGTGACACCCCCCCCCCCCCCAAAAGAAGTTAGAGATTTGTGACCACAGAAAATCAGTTTATTGAAATCCCGGTAATTAGAACACGCCTTTGCAATAACACAGAAACAAATGTGGGAAATACATATCTTCACTTTATTGTTTTGGCTCACAAACAGATTTATACACATATATTACTGTATCGAAAAATGACACCTTCATCTTAAATATACCAGGAACGGAAAGGAAATTGTAAACATGTATCAAACCTGAATAACTATTTGTAGCCCTTCCAACTTTTTGCTCATCTAAGTTTAACTTTGTTTTTTCCATGGGAAGGAATGCATTGCTCCATACTACCCATGGACCTTTTTGGCTTTCCACAGTAGCCATATCTTATATTGATCCATGTACAAGAAAGCGAACAGACTAGGAGGGTGTCTAATGGAGTATATTATGCATTATGAATTCAAGCTCTTTCCAGATTTTCCGTCCAGATAACAGTTTCTCTGTGTGGCTTATCTAAAAAAAAAAAAAATCTATAATTTTTGCAGTAATTATCAGGAATCGATGTGTAATAATAGACATCACTTCTGCTATATGAGTATCGGAGCTGGCATTATACAAAAGTCCTGAGAACCACAGCTTTTTTTTTTTTTTTTTTTGGCCAAAGTGGTGTCCTCATTTCACCTTATCCAGGATGTCATCCTACCATCTTTCTGGTAAACCCTCATAATGAATAGTCACAGCACATTAGCTGCCTTGCCTAAAGGGGGTGATCATAAGAACTGATAATCTTTGCGAAGGTGTAGACCAAGATCTAAGAGTTCACATCCCAAGTAAAACCTGCCACAGAGGCTGTTACTGCTGACTTCCTGCAGAAACTTCTATTCGAGAGGCATGCTTTCCAGTGAATGACCCGATGTGAAGATGAAGAAAGTCATAGAAAGCTAGGAGTCCTAATCTACATGCTTGTTTCAGGACAGTGACAAACTATTGAAGCAGAATGATTCAGAAGCATGTAAAATGCTTCAGGTGCTTTAGAGTTGTTTTTATTTTTATATGGGGCAAAAATCAAGTCAGGAACAAAAGGCTAAATGAGCCCTACAACAGGCCTCCAACTGGAGCAACATCCAACATACCTGTTCCTTAGTTGTCATCTATGTAAACTATAAGACTGTTTACACAACTGAGCCGCCTGTTTTTACCACCCTCCAACTGCTCACCCTTAAGCTGCAAAGGCAGCAGACAGGGTGTACACATGGCACAGCAAAAACGATCCCCTCTGTTGCATTCGGCATAAACTGAATTGGACTGTGCCTCAACTCTGTGCAATGCATGGCGGGGCTGTGTAGCTTGTTTAGGCTTAAAACGGGCAACATATCGCCCCCTCACTACCTGTGAAATGCTCTGAAAAGCGTCTCGCCACTTCATAAAGCATCATATCAGCACCATCTATCTGCACACAAAATCACAATTAAGGATAGCGGTACTTCTACATTATTCATGTATACTACACATCATTGAAAAAAATACCAGCTACCTCTGCTTTGAGGACTGCCATCACATACCCATTTATCTTGATTACATTTAGCCTGTCTGCACTGTAGCTACATATCAGGCCAGTGAAAAATGAAGGCATCTAGTCTACATTCCTGTGCGGGGCAGCTTTTAGTACACCTATAAACCACTGCACTGAACATGTGTAATCGCTTGAGAAACAGACTACAAACTGCTGGAAGAACTTATCCCAGGTGTTCGAAAGTTTCATTACCCTTTAAAAGAAACCTGTCATGAGAGAAATTAGAAAGTCATCACTACTGACTGTACATCTGAAGATCTACTGGTCATGCAGACTTTCTTCTGTTAATACTTTAAGAGTACATTCACACTGGGTGGAATATTCTGCAACTGGAGCACACACACAATCTGGTGCAGCCATGCATAGTTACCAATCACCTTCCAAGTTAAGCTTTGGAAATGAAAGCTGATTAGTTGCCATGTACAGCTGCTCCAGATTCTGTCTCCTATTGTATCTTGCTTTGTGTATTGCCAATAATTTTAATGACACTCCAATGTGCTTACACCAACCAAATACACATAACTGGCCATCAGCAATTCACAAGAACAGTGCCTTGCAGTGCACTGGAAAACATTATGCAGATATATTTGTCAGCCCATGAATACACACACAGAGGACCCTTAAAAATGGATACCTAACACTGCAAGTTGTGACAAAAACATCAGCACACATGAATGTGAATGGGCCCTAGATTCCTGACCTAAAACAAGAATACAAATATAGACCTGACTTTACCTTCACTTTTCTGATATGCATACATGACCTGGTTTAGGGACTCAATGTATACTGTAGGCAAAACTTTTTCCCCACATTTTGGGGAGGTAATAAAACCAGTTTTTGTTTTTTTTTTTTACACATGTGTTTGACTAAGGAGATTTCCCTTCACTTCCTGTCGCACAGCCATATCCAAAATAAGGGAATCCCTGGTTGTCACCAGAACTAGTGTCCTCATTGGAAGATTTCCCCTCTTACTGTTCTGGGGACAACCCCAAATTTGAGGTTTTCTTTTACTTTCACTTTTCAAAGAGAACAGAAAAGTTGGTATTACACAGAGGGCGTATCCCCCCAAAGGGGATACCAGTAGCAATAAAAAAAAAAAAAAAAAAAAACTGACAGGTCAAATCCTTCTCCACTCTATCCAAAACAAACAAAAAAGAAGTTCTGCCTTTAGTTATACTTTAAGGTTGGAAGGTCATCACAACAGCCAAGCACCTAGAATTTCCAAAGGTTCAGCAATGTCCTTCTTAACAGTTGCTCTTCAAAGTCCTCAGATAGTTTAAATACACAAATGGAAATTAGCTGCTCATACATGTAAAAATCCCAAATGATATTTACCCAAGTAGGCACAAGGTGGGGTGTAGTGAAGCAGAAATACATATTGGATTTATCTGCCATTAGCAAACGTGTTACAAACATTGTACCAAAATATTGCATTTTGCATTCAACAGTGTGTCCATATTTTTTATATATTAAAATAAATATATATGTTTTACGTTCAAATGCTGCTTAATCATACTTTAAATTTAGACGAACTTCCAAAATTGTCTTTAGAAAAAAGGTGAAGAAGAGTGAAAGAGATTCTGGTAGCAATGACTAACACGTAACCTGTGTGCCAGCTGGCTGACCTGTAACTGTGTAATACCAACACTGGTAGTCCTGAAAGCGCTGTACAGTATCCAGTGAGCAGCTCTCTCATTGATCGGCAAGTGTCACACTGTTTTCCAGGCCCAGCTGGTAAGTGATGTAACCATTAGTTAGGTGGAGCCCAGTGAAAAGCTTGATATTACTCATCTCTACATAGTTCAGAAACTTTCTATTAACATTTTCACTTGTCCTGGTTAAGGAACATCTTTGTGAAATGATCCAGCTCATTTTCAAGATGAACCGCTTTGTTTCTGGAAAAAAAAAAAGAAAGATAAATTGCAGCTTAAACAAAAGTGAAAAGCTAAATTATAGACATAGTTGCCCTAAATTATTTAGACAAAAATTGTTGTGACCTATTCAAATATAGCAAGTAGAAATAAACTACACAAGGTGTCAAATATTTTTATGGTTGAATATATTTTTATTTGAAAATGTACAAACAAACATTCACAGCATTTACAGGCCGTAGAAATTGGCAAAACAATGAAGAACACGTGAAATATATTTAAAATAGAAGTATGGCCAGAGCTTTCTGGCCGTGCTTCCTTTGAGGGTCAGAGGAGTACATTCACTTTGGTTTTACTGTGACAGAGCTAAAACTAAACAGTATAATCAATATTGTCGGGATCCACCCAGCTGCCCAACTGACAGCTCCATATCCTTTCAGCATGCAACTTGGAGCCAGAGCCAGTACCTCCCAAGCCTGGTGCTCCAGCGAGCACTTGAAGAGCAGAGTAGAGAGCAGTGACTAAAGCCAGCCAGAGATGGATTGAACCTTGGCTGGTTCAGCAGGGATCGGCTGAGATTTGAATCATGTATGGGCAGGCTGGTTGTACTGAAGTCGATCTATCAATCAACTTCTAAACAGCCAGCCTGCCAGATTTTTTGAATGCGATTACTGCAAGGGGCTATAGCCGCTAGCAGTTATTATTGTGTTCTACCAGCAGGGAGCCTTGCCTGCTGATAGAACACAATAGCTGCACGAGAGGAACTGCAGAAAAGAAAAATCGCTCATCTATGGCCTGCCTATAATTACTGCTTTCCACTTGGAGCAGACTGAGAGCTGAGTGATCAGCCATCATATGATCGTTTACAGTGAAGGAAATAAGTATTTTATCCCCTGCTGATCAGTCTAAAAATCGAATGGTAGGTGTATGGTAACACAGAGACAGAATAGCAACAAAAAGTCAAAAGAAATGCACGTCTAACAAATGATGCACTGATTTGTATGTTCATGAGGGAAATAAGTATTTGATCCCCTATCATTCAGCAGGATTTCTGGCTACCAGGTGTCTTTCATACAGGTAACAAGCTGAGATTAGAAGCAGTCTCTTAAAGGGAGTGCTGCTAATCTCATTTTGTTACCTGTATAAAAGGCACCTGTCCACAGGAGCAATCAAACAATCAGACTCCAAACTCTCCACCATGGCAAATACCAAAGAGCTGTCCAAGGATGTCAGGGACGAGACTGTAAACCTACACAAGGCTGGACTGGGCTACCAAACTACCGCCAAGCAGCTTGGTGAGAAGGTGACAACAGTTGGTGCAATCATTTACAAATGGAAGAAACACAGAACAACTGTCAGTCTCCCTAAGTCTAGTGCACCATTCAAGATCTGACCTTGTGGAGTGTCAATGATCATGAGAACAGTGAGGAATCATCCCAGAACTACAGGTGAGGATCTTGTCAATGATCTCCAGGCAGCTGGGACCACAGTCACCAAGAAAACAATTGGTTACACACTACACCAACAAGGACTGAAATCCTGCAGTGCCCGCAAGGTCCCTCTGCTCAAGAGAGCACATGTCCAGGCCCGTCTGAAGTTTGCCACTGAACATCTGAATGATGCAGAGGAGGACTGGTTGAAAGTGTTGTTGTCAGATGAGACCAAAATCAAGCGCTTTGGCATTAACTCAACTCGCCATGTTTGGAAGAGGAAGAATGCTGCCTATGACCCCAAGAACACCATCCCAACTGTCAAACATGGTGGAAACATTCTGCTTTGGGGGTGGTTTTTCTGCTAAGGGGACGGGACAACTGCACCGCATCAAAGGGAAGATGGACAGGGCAATGTACCGTCAAATCTTGGGTGAGAACCTTCTTCCCTCAGCCAGGGCATTGAAAATGGGTTGTGGATGGGTGTTCCAGCATGACAATGACCCAAAACACAAGGCCAAGACAACAAAGGAGTGGCTCAAGAAGAATCACATTAAGGTCTTGGAGTGGCCTAGCCAGTCTCCAGACCTTAATCCGATTGAAAATCTGTGGAGGGAGCTGAAAGTTCGAGTTGCCAAACGTCAGCCACCAAGCCTTAATGACTTGGAGAGGATCTGCCAAGAGGAGTGGGCCAAAATCCCTCCTGAGATGTGAGACTACAGGAAACGTCTGACCTCTGTGATTGCCAACAAGGGATTTGCCACCAAGTACTAAGTCATGTTTTGTGAAGGGGATCAAATACTTATTTCCCTCATGAACATGCAAATCAGTGCATAATTTGTTAGATATGCATTTCTTTTGAATTTTTTGTTGCTATTCTGTCTCTCAGTATTACAATACACCGAACATTCGAATTTTAAACTGATCATTTCTTTGTGAGTGGGGAAACATTCAAAATCAGCAGGGGATCAAATACTTATTTCCTTCACTGTAGTTCTCACTCACACAGATGCTGTAGCATGGTGATGAGTATGTATGTTTGTTATTTTTTTAATCCCATATTTCTCCATTAAAGCTGAATGCAAGGCAAAGAGCTACTTGCACACATTAAATATATACAAGGGAGCTGTTTTTTATTGCCAACAACATTACACACCTCTGCTGCAGCCACCAATCAGTGTTTTCTATCTGCAGGAGGTGCCGCCATCAGAATACTATGTCCCGGCAGGTAGGATTTGATCTTAGGTCTAGATTAAGGCCTCATGCAAACTGGACGTTTCTATATCTTTTTTAGACACCTTTCCTCCTGGCAGTGGCATTTTGGCAAAAAAAAATGCTTGACACTTGTAAATGCATTTAACGCATTTAAGCGCTGTCTAAAGCATTTGGGCGTTAACGCATTCAATTGGTCGGACACGGATACTAATTTTTAAAAAAGGAGTTTTTTTTTAAATCCTAACATTTAATGACCTGGACCTTTGACCCTTAATGTTGACCCCAGCACTAACCCTGCCACTGACCTAGATCAAACTTCAATCTAGCCATTTTTTTCTTTACACACACATTTGTTTACATCCTGCAAGGATAGAAAGATACAATAAATCTTTCCATTCAGAGGAGAAAGAAAACACATGGGTGGGCTGCATGGTAATTGATCAAATCAGGAGCTATCACAGCAATCAGGTGACTGGGAACCCAAAGTCCCAGGTCTTCATTGCTACTACGAAACCTAGGGCTCTCAGTGAGAGCCCAGTCTCTGTTCTGGGAGCACTCTGTGAAACACGTTCCCAGCACAAACATGGGAACATGTATATGCACCACCCAGGTTTAAAGCCCATCCTCCTGAAAGCCACATATATGTTACTGTGTCTTTATGGGGTTAATGCACTGTTCCAAATAGAAAGCCACATCTGCCAAATAGATTAACCAACAAAGAGATGGAAGAGAGACTTTTCATGAACTGAGATGAACTGAAACACCCTTTCATCCATTAAATGCCCCCATCATTAAATACTCAGAACGATACACTATTTTTGCAAAAATCTACATATTGATTACCTGAAAAGTTTGGCTTGGTTTTGAACTTTCTCTAGCTGTTTTATTTCCTCTGACCGTTTGTTGATGGACTCCATTAGATCTCTTTGAGTGATATCAACCTGCTGGCAAAGTCGGGTAAAAATGTTGTCCAGCTCCCTGAAGGAGAGAGAAAGTAATATAAAGTGACACTAATGAAGAGTGAAACATTAACAGACTTTCAGTTGCAACTTTTATCTTTCTTTTAGTTGCTCACGGTTCTGTTTTGATGCATGCTGACCATTCAAACAGCATGACAAATCGCATGCAATGATTGGCAATAGAACTGTTCAAATCGATGAGACTAGAGACTTCGATGGAGTCACACCAATTAGAAAAGTAGTTCCTGCGCTACTTTTGTGGATTTGGGGTTGCGACTGGCATAGAAATCTTTGCATAAAGTCACACAGAAGTCTATCAAGTCGCACTGCCATCCAACTTTGATATCGTGTGACTTTGTAAAGTCGCATGATTTCAAAGTCAGATCCAGTGTGAACAAGGGCTTAGAGGGCATACATTGTAAACCTTTTTTTGTAGATTAACTTACTTTTGCACTTGGTGACTGCAGTTTGCACTGGTGATGCTAACAATCATCTGCAGTTTGTCTGCCGCATAGTTTACAAACTGTTTCTTGAAAGCCCTCTCCTTGGCTCTTGTGGTCCATGTTAGCCTCTCATACACGTACAAACTTCCATATGCCAGCAAAGAGCATGCAATCAGCTTCCAGCCTACGGTTCTCCAGATCTGCACAAAAATAAAAAAATTATTACTTAAAATATCACAAGTGTGCAGATGTGACAATTATACAGAAGGGTGTCAACGTTTTTTAAATTAATACATTTACTCCAACCAGTTATAGTGTTGTAGCTCCAACCTAAAGAAGTCTGCTCAACAGTTTATGGGGTAAAATTTGAACCATCTACATCAAACCTCTACAGCTTCAAAGAGCAAACCAGTTAAATAAACAAACCATTAAAGAAGGCCTTGAAAAAAAGGGAGCCTCCACTTCCCTTCTGCAGCCATCTCTTCCCCATGCCAAAATATTACTCTGCATTCCCCTAATCCTCCTTACAGAACCAAGGTTTGATCCTACAGAGTCAGCATGACCAATATGGTAAGATACATGGGAGACTCCAATATGAAAATTAGGCAGGAGGGATTTGAACCATCAGGAAAACTATTTACCAAGGCCTACATTGACATTTTTCTACACAGGTGGTTATCTAAATGTCCCACAATGCAGATGCCATTTGAAGACCCCAGGGCAAACACTGAGACTCACCCACTGAAGAACGCTCAGTGTGCAGGGTTGAGACTGAGGAGTCAGAGTTTCATCCTTTAGGGCTCTGATCAGCAAGAACTTGTCCTTCCTGACAAGCTCAAGTCAGAGGGTCCCTCTTGTTGGCCTCACAAGTCCCTCTCTCTAGGGAATACAGCAGTGGTCAGGTTGGGATACAGTTCCTGTGACCAAACTGGCAAAAGGAACCAGTGCAAGGTTCCTTTCATCCTGGAGACACCAATGGGGCAGAGGTAGGTCTGCTAATTTGTGTGGTGGCACAGGAAGATACAGGGCGAGAAGCTGAAGAGAGGGTTGAAAGCGAGGGATCAATCTGCAAACCTGAAAGGACACTCTTTGCACCGACACACCCGAAGGGAAAATGCCCAAAAACCCACAAGGCTTAACAAACATCTCCACACTTGAAAAAGTGGGGGCACACATTCATGCTGAAGGTTTCCTTTATCAGGTTTCTTAGCCCAGACCTTGCACATGAAGTAGGTGAAGGAGAGGAAGAAGACTTGGCCAACCTCTCCTTAGAGTTACGCTGATGCAGGTGGATGCTCAGTCCTCAAGATATATTCTTGACGATAATGTCAAGAGTAGGTTCAAACAGACTTCATCCTTTAAAAGAATAAGTGGATGAGACACCCCATGGATGTGGATGTAGTGTCCACATCCAAGAACTTCAATTTGAGTGCTGTGTATTTTTACAGATTTCTGGCCCATGAGAGAGACAAGCGTTAGGATACTTCCAGTAGGCCATCACAGCTAAAGCATAGGGCTCCTCTATTATACACCTATAATGAAAGGATCCACTGCTGTAGTAGAGAGATCTCTTCTGACAGATTTTAACCATTCTGCCACAACTTGGCAAATTAAGCTTACAGTCAGAATGGCCACAAAATGAGATACTGTATTTCAATGAGGGAATCTAAATGTTGGTCAGTAGAATCTTCAATGTGAGAATGCCCTCTAATGGTCTATTGGTTTTCCTGTTAAGATGGGTCACTGGCAAATCCACAGTGGGTAAAGAACACCATTTAACAATCCTTCACAAATGGAAACAGGTCCAGTAAGAATCTGGGAAATATGAGGGACCTGTCAGGCAGCTTCTAATCCCCACAGAGTAATACCTAGAATGAGTGTTATAAGAAGGTCTTTGTAAAACTGGAGACAGCAGGCTGATCCGCCAAATGCAGAAAAGTATGGACTGCATCAATAAGAACCAAAACAGTCTCTAAAATCTTATATAACAGCAGAAGACTTTGATTCCCAAAAACAATCTCATTAGGGAAAGATTGAGAGAACCTCTTATCAAAAGTCAAACAGTACAATTGGTGGCCCAGCAGCCTTAAATTCTGTGGGCAGATCAGAAACAGACTCTGCAGGAGAAGGCACAGAAGCATGTTTGCAGCCTTTCCGATCAGCGAGGAACTGGGTGAATTTGGCCAAAAAGTATTGTGTGATTGTATTAGAAAACCTGGATGATGAAGCAGGGAACTTCATTTTAACCAGTATCGTTAGGGAGAACATTGATTATGAAATGCTTTCAGAAGGCATACAGCAAACTTTTGAAGAACCAGCGTGAGCTAGGGTCACCTGTTGCAGCAGGACTGTCCCCTCTGTGTCTAGATACAGACATGTTTTGACCATGTGGTTGTGAAAGTTCAGGGAATGAGACAAGATCTCAGGTACTTACAAAAACTATCGCAGCTGGTAGCTCATGAGGGTCAGTTAGCTGGAGGTGACCAAGGGCGCTGTAGGCAGGCAGCAGGAATGGGCTGGAGATCGAAGCTCCAAGTGGCTATTTGTAAAGCAAAAGCAGCAGCATAGCGATGCTTCCTTGGCACTGAATGGTAGGAAAGAGCATAGAGTATGCATGTGAAATACTCTTCCAAACAGATGATGTCTGCACTCAGTCCATTAGTGTTAACCTATTCCTTGGTAAAAACACCTGGCAAGCAGGAAAATTAGAGCTGCAAAACAGTCCCAACAATGAGATAGTTCCGCTGCTAATTAGTAACTAGAACAGGGCCTAGAAAAAGCCTTAAGCACAATACTCAAAAAAAAGCCTTAAGAAATACTCAAAAAGGTCACTTCCAGGCAAGCCCCACAACATCAAGTCAAGAAGGTCTGATGAGTACAGCATTGCAAAGCTCAGCTGAGAAAAAGCTGCTCTGGACAGCTGCCATGAACAGACCAGATCAAGCAGCAATGGAGAGAAGAAACTTGATTGAAGAATAAAAGGCTAGAAAAAAAAAATTAGATTATAGACTTTTTCCAGCAGAACAGAAGAACATGTCCATCCTCCCAGGACACCAAAACACTGAGGCATGTTGGAAACAAAAGGGGTTATCCTGGGCTGGACTATAGATTTTTTTGCTTGCCAATATCCAATCCTCTTGTAGGTGTCAGTATAACCTGACAGCATATGGCTTCCCTGTATGCCCCAATGGATGAAAATGAAAGCGTATGACTTTATTTGACATGGAGACAAAAAGACAAGGCTAACCTACATTACGCCACAATTTGTATATTGCGACAACACAGTAAGTTGAATTCCATAAATTCATCATACAGGGAACCCAGGGAGCAAATTACTGTAGTACACTATAATGCAGAAGTGCTCAACCTTTTGAAGAGTGCGGGCCACTTAAGTGATGTGGTACTCTTCAGGCTGCTAGAAAAGCCCCAGGTGAAGTGAACTTGGTATCATTCTGCCTGGGACAGGAGCTAGTGGTACAGCTGCCCTGCTCCCTCCACTGCTGGTGTGCCAGCTCACTGCACTCTGATGCTCTGGAATGGAGGACTGGCAATCCCAGATCATGATTACTGGTTTGATGATCCCAAGCATGTCCTTCCCTGGTTTGAGGTCGCGGACCACATCAGAGGGCTCCATAGGCCATGGGTTAAGCACCCTTGCTGTAATGTATCTGTACTAAGTGTTAATGCATCCTGTCATTGCAAATTAAGGGATAGTACTGTTGGTGTTTGGAGCCTGGGATCAAGGAATAATGACTGTCCCCTTATTTGCCTCTTCTGGCACTATTTTTGTTATTAGATGTAGAATATTAACAATAAAAAATTACTTTATGAAAAAAACATTTCCAGATGGTGTGAAATCCTTTAAAACAATGAATTTAGTAAACCTCTCAACCAGAAATCATCTTACCATTCCTCCGACAATAATCACTCCCATAGAACCTCTTGAGGTCAAGGATGCCAATCCAGACATTACTGTAACCATGATCTCATCTTGTGATTTGGAATCTGGAGTCTGCCCTGGGTTAGCACTTGTGGTTGGTGTGCAGACAGGCCGGGGAACCTTGAGAAAAGAAGAGTTGATATGTACTAAACTTGAAACCATATAATTTGCAAACATGTTAAAACAGAAGAAAGCCAATGTGCACATTTGATTAAAAAAAACAAAACAAATGTGAGATTCATTGCCAAGTAAAGTAGGCCTTGGATGGGAAGGCTTAGTCAGGGATTTCTGAAAATACCTAAAGCTGCTGTCTGAATTATGTGACCTATCATCAAATGTAAAACACTGGTTTGTTATCCCCAGGGAAAGAAATAATCTTTCAAACAAATTTCCAGCTTAAATGGAAACTTGTGCTTTGCTCTTGCCTCCCTCAATAGCAGCACATACTTACCTTTCCTTCATTCTCCAACCATTCTGTCCAGCTGCCAGAAGTGAGGAGTTGTGTATGTTCAGAATCACAGGGCTGATGAGTTTCTCCCCATTCCTATTTGACAACACTCTCACGTGATAAGAAGGGTATTTTTCTCACTTCCCACAGATGAACAGAGTGGTAGTGGAGAAATGGAAAGTTATTTAAATGTACACTTGATGCACATCTCTACATTTATAGCAATACAACATACACTTATGAACCTTCACAATACAAAAAGGCTAACAAACCATAACTTTATAATAAATAAGTGCAATCTGCAATATGAAAAGTGAAACCAGCCATATAAAAAGTGAAAGTGCTCAGTCCAACAAATATTCTCCGAGATTCAATCAAATGTTGAAAGGTGGTGAGCAAAAGTGATTCCTCCACCAAATAAATGATTAGCCTCTTACCAAAAATATTGATCTCACTTTCCAGAGATCAATACATGCTTGTGTGATCGTACTCAGTACTCATCTCACTGATGGGATGCTTTCATCACCCCCTCAGCATAATATGACAGACACCAGAAGGAATCTTCTTGTGCAATAAACAGACATTCCCTCCAGAGAAGAAGAGCAAAGGACCGCAAAAAGTGTTATATCGTAAAACAATTTTGTATTTAAAATAAAACAGAAATATACTTACAACATTAAGTATAGGAGCACATAAAAAAACAGACACCAAAGCCTCGAGTATCAGCATGTATATGACATCACTAGCTAGGCCCCACCCAACATGTTTCGCCACCAATCCGTATAGTCAGGAGAATGAAGCATTATAGATTAATGGAAAGATTTATAGATTAATGGAAAGTAATGTGCTGCTCAGAAGGAGTGGGCAAAGCACATAATATTTTAGGATCATCTAGCAGACAGACCTCTGCCCAGTGCACCACACTACCCATCATACTACTACTACAAACCATTACGAATTGGCAAGTGGATAACAAGCAGAAGTGTTGAAAGTCTATAGGCAGAATTACGTCAAGTGATTCTCTTTAAAACGTTACCACTTAAGAGGGATCATTCTAAAGTTGGCCAGCTTGAATATGTACTGCAATACATACCAAACAAGAAATCCGGTTTATGTGCAACGTTTGCTAGAAGTTATGTTTCACTGCTAATTTTTTGCAGTTAAAGAAAAAATGTGCATTTTTTTTTTCTTAGGGGCCTGCAAATCATTGCACCCGCGATCAGTAGATCATGGGTGCAATGTCAGGCTCCTGCAGGCACTCAGTACAGGAACAAAGAACTATGAGGACACCAAATGGTGTCCTCACAGTTCATGTAGAACTATAAGCCATCTGCCTGAATGACAGCTGTTTGGGGGAAGCTCTGCACAGCCATGCTGTTTTTAATTGTGACCGTGGGTACAGAAAGACAATGCAGGATTGTTGCTGCTGCATTAGTAAAATGTCACACCCTAAATACAAGTGTAACATGTTATTAGAGCTGAACTTATCCTTAAAGGGTGTAGAGCAGTGCACAAAAGGTGAATAGAGAATCTTAAGGTGTCAACGAGGCCACACCTCTCTAGCACTTCAAATGTTATACGTGTTGGGAATGGTGCACATTTTTTTTAAATGCATTTAATCTGAGTACTTAGGTGCAGTGGCAACAATCATTTTCAGTCACACTTTTCCTTTATTTTCACCTGGTAATCTAAAAAACAACACTTCCTGCCCTGGATAGCTATGCTCACTCACTCCACTGCATCTATGAAGGGAGACATGGTTGTTGCCCAGTAGGGACTTCAGACACGTCTTCCTCTCTTCATTACATCAAGAGGTGGGAGGATTAGTAGTTTACAGAAGAAAGAGAAAATCGTTTCCACTTTCCGTTCATATAAAAGTATGTACTGAAAAAGGTCCAAAAAGTTGGCCAGCTTGTGTTGCAGAGGCACTTGGTGTTGGTGGATTCTGCAAATGGAGCAGGCAAAAAGAAATCTATTTTACTGTTGTACGGACATAAAAAAATGTTAATGCAACTACAAAAATAAAATTGATTTTATTCTGGACACAGGCTTTACGATTGCCTGCTCTATTGGAAAATCCACCAGCGCTCAGTGCTTCAGCAACACAAGCATTGTTGGACTTTTTTAGTGCATCTCTTCTCCTACCAGCCACTCCAGACATAGCCCACCCTAAGGGAATAAGGTCTGGTTCTCCTTATGCATAGAGTGTGCCCACCCACCAAAAGAATTATCTGCATAGAGACGGATTTATGTGCCTGGTCAGAAGTATGACAAGGTAGCATACCATTTCAGTTGTCTACTGCAACCTATCCAGGTGGTACATAATATTCTACTATCATATTTATGAAAAACCAAATACTACACAATATAGGCCTCTCCCATCTTTTACTGAAAGCAACAATGTTATAACAGCCTAACAGAAGGTGACTGCATATCTGGCATTAGCAACAGCTATTTTCTGTAAATGCTGAAAATATTCTTAGCCCGAAAATTAAAATGAATGCGGCCACGTTTAAAGATATATTATATTTTTATTCTTGTGTTTAGCTATCCTTTAAAACTGAACAAGCTGACATTAGAAGCCGATTAGCTACCATGCATAGCTGCACCAGATTTTGCACTCTCCAATTCTAGTAGATCAACCCCTAAGTGTCCATTAAAGTACAATATGTGCATGGAAGCATTTGGCACCTTGTACGGTAGAGCAGGGACTGACAACAGAAAGCAACTGGCCAGCTTGAAAACGTATTACAAAATATGCAAACCCAAGAATCTCTGTTTCAATGCAAAGTGTGCTAAAAGTATCTAAAAGTGCATAACAGACAATTGTTGTGGAAGGTTTTGATTTGTTAGTTTTACGATGTATAAACATTTTTTTTAAAACTTTAATAAAAACTATCTGATTAAAAAAAAAAAGTGCATAACAATGGCCACAGGGCATTTTATAATCCAAAACATAGATGCAGCCATTAAAGACATAACTCTCGAAATGCATACTTGTTCCAAGGCAGTTACTCAGAGTACTGTAACTATTGGAATAGCACAAATGTCAGGCTAGCAGCATTTTAATAATGTAACAATAACCTTTGTATTTCTCTCAGAACACATGTTCAGTAAATGAAGTACATGACTATATTTGTGATTCTTTTTTAAATCACTTAACTGAAAATCTAGTTAATGGTATGGAGCACTAACAGTGCCATGAGCGAGAATGTAGAATAATAGCTGGACTTTTGTGAATTTGAACCTTCTTGGCTCCCATTACTGTATTACTGGTACTGCAAAGTAATCAATAATGGCTGTACTGTTCACCAACAAGTTAATTTGAACTGATGTATCCTGAATGCTATACACACCTGAAAAACTGGTTCTGCAAAACCTAATAGGAGGCGAGCATTTTGGGCACCCAAATACCGATTAACAAGTGACGTCCAACCAAATGAAAAGCGAAACTCAATGTCTTCCTGGAAATCACTGCACAGCTTCTCACAATTCAGATTGTAGCTGAGGTCAAATTTCTTGCATGGCAGGGCTGTGCCATATTCCTTTTGAACAGCAGATGGCAGCAATGGTTTTAAGCTTTCTGCAATTGTAAAACTCAATTTTGTTAACACAAAAACATACGGTAGTTAAATCAGAACTAAAGATATCGATAACGAAGAATAAGGGAGGTTTAGAAACCTGTTACGTTTTTGCCATCAGTCTCTCATTGTGTTAATTCCCCTTCACTTCCTGTCCCATAGCCAAAACAGGAAATTAGAGAAAATCCCTCTAAAGTAAGGGAATCCCTGGTTGTCACCAGAACTAGTGACCCCGTTGGTAAATATCCCTTTAATCCTGTTCTGCAGACAACCCAAAATTTGGAATTTTATTTTACTTTCTCTTCCATTGATAATGGTAAAGAAGACTAATAGGATGAATCTGCTTACAGACACCAATAAAAACTGACAGGTGTTCTAATCTCTCTTCATCCAAAACAAAAACAAAGTTTTGCCTTTAGTTATACTTTAAGTCCACAGTACTTTATGAGTTGGCTGTGTTCTGTCCAGATACAGAAATAAAGGGTCTCATGACACCAGGAGGAACACAGCAACTGAAACCTGCACTTTCTATTGTATTTTTCTTTCTAGTATAGCAGGGTAGTGTTTCTATGAGCACAGCACAAATTTATTTTCTTTTCACAAATGAGGCTTCAAGCGCTTTATAAACCAACATAAAATGCTGCCAAATCCTATATGCTATGACAGAAACAGTTCATGAGATTACAAGTAGAAGACATACATATAGGCTTAAAGGGTAACTCCACTTTCATGGAAAAAAACAATTGCAAAAAAAAAAAAGTGTGTCATGTACAATTGTAACATAACATTACAGCCTCGCAGGGCTGTACATGTGCCACAGCAATTTTAACTCAGGCTGCAGAGCTTGACATGCACCATCACCAGTCAATCTACCACAATGTAAAATTGACATTCAGTAAATAAAAAAAAAAAAAAAAAAAAGGAAAAAAAAAAAAGAAGAGGCACAGGAGGTAGGAAGCAGTAGCATAATGCCCCGTGAAGAGAAATCACCCATGGATCAATTTTCAGAGGGCAGTAAGCCTGTATTAAAGAGCCTTAAGTGAAAAATGTAACTTCACTTTCATGGCTGGTTACACCTTGCTGGGAAGCAGCTAAGAATAGGCTGACAGATCAGGCTTAGTGTTAGGGTTCAGGTGATCCACATATCAATGCCCAGTGAAAAGCATGGCTAGATCCACAAAGACTTTGATTTTCTACCCCAGAGTTGCAGGGTCACAGGAGCAGATGTAGTCATCACAAAACAGGTTTTTTTCAACTCCACACATCTGATAGAAAAGCTTGTACTGACTGGAATCTTCTTCATACATGCTGCACTGTCTGGCTGATGAATGATCCATAAAAGGACACCATATTATATCCAATACCGTTCAACAGGTCCAGGTGAAGCAGGACATGGATTAAATGACAGCCATTTCATCATTTTAAGACATTATATTGAGCAGTATCTAACATATGTTCACAGTGTTCACCAGGTGTCATTTCAGTGACTAGTGACTGTTACCTATGATGTCCTCTTGTGCTTTCTGTATAGATGTATTCACTGCGGCAGAACAGCGATCAGCCAGCTTTCTTCCCATCCCCTTCTCTATGTGTGAATTCAGCTCCTACAAAGAACAAGAGTAAACAGATACAGTGGTGAACATAATTTGATCCCCTGCAGATTTTGTAAGTTTGCCCACTTTCAAAGAAATGAAGGGTTTATAATTTTTATCATAAATGTATTTTAAATGATAGAGACAGAATATCAACCAAAATCCAGAAAACACATAATACAAATGTTTCCATTTAAAGCTCAACACCATGGGCAAGACCAAAACGGTCAAAGGAAGTCAGGGACTAGATTGTAGACCTGCACAAGGCTGGAATGGGCTACAAGACCATCAGCAAGAAGCTTGGAGAGAAGGAGACAACTGTTGGAGTGATTATTCACAGATGGAAAAAATACAAATAACCATCAATCGCCCTCGGTCTGGAGCTCCATGCAAGATTTTGCCTCATGGGGTAAGGGTGATCATGAGAAAAGTGAGGGATCAGCCCAGAACTACACGGGAGGAGCTTGTTAATGAGACTTCAGTCACCAAACAAACCACTGGTAACACAATATGCCGCCATGGATTGAAATGCTGACTATGACCTAAGAACACCATCCCTACAGTCAAGCATGGAGGTGGAAACATTATGCTTTGGGGCTGTTTCTCTGCTAAAGGTACAGGCTGACTTTACCACATTGAGGGGTCAATGGACGAGGCCATGTATTGTGAAATCTTGGGTGACAACTTTTTTCCCTCAGCCAGAACACTGAAGATGGGTCATGGATAGGTCTTCCAGTATGACAATGACCCAAAACATACCGCCAAGGCTACAAAAGGGTGACTCAAGAAGAAACACATTAAAAGGTCATGGAGTGGCCCTAGCTAGTCTCCAGACCTTAATCCAATAGAAAATGTATGGAGGGAGCTGAAACTTCGAGTTGCCAAGCAACAGCTGAGAAACCTTAAGGATTTAGAGAAGATCTGTAAAGAAGAGTGGACAAAAATCCCTCCTGAGATGTGTGTAAACCTGGTAACCAACTACAAGAAATGTCTTACCTCTGTGCTTGCCAACAAACGTTTCTCCACCAAGTATTAAATCATGTTTTGCTTGGGGATCAAATAGTTATAAATTGAGTTGCAGTTCAGTGAGTAAAATAACATTTGTATCGTGTGTTTTTTCTGGATTTTTGGTTGATATTCTATCATTTAAAATACACCTATGATAAAACTATAGACCCTTCATTTCTTTGTAAGTGGGCAAACTCACAACATCTGCAGGGGATCAAATAATTATTTTCTCCACTGTATAGACATAGCAGAAATAAGCAATGCCCAACACAAACACACAGAAGAAGAATCTGCCTCTTGTCTGTTATTTAAACAATCAAACAATCGCACATGCAGTAACTGAATATATGAGATGGAATGTATATTTTATCAACAGAATTTTTAATCACACACTCCATGGCAATTTTAGAGGCATTGGCATCTGAAAGGGAAAATCATCCATCATGCAGAAAGTTTTACATATTCATATTAATCGGAGACCCATAATCATATACCATAACAGATCGGAGCTGCTCCAAGCCTGCAGTGTCAGTCTTCCAGGTTTACACTCAATATTCAGGTGCTGGCAGAAATAGAGCACATCTTTCTCCAAAATATAACATAGCATGGAGGTACCTGCCGCACACTCTATTGAGCACCAATGTAAGGTGAATGGAAAACTGCCTTCAGCTCAAATCTCAGCCCATAAGTCACACCCCTTGGACATGTTTCACCCACATTGGGCTTAATTGTATCTAGGATTTGAGCTGAAGCCAGTTTTTATTCACCCTACATTGGAGCTAAGATTGTGCGGCGGTATCTACATGCCCCGTAACCATATGTTATATTGGCAGAATAGCCAAGCTATCTTTGATTAGGAACAGCAGCCTTAATAACATTTATTTATCTCTACTACTGGTAAATCATCAGTGAGCAAAAATAACAAAATATGCTTACAATAATCACAGACAATAGTAAAGAACCTGCTTGTAATATCCAGCTTACATTTTTATAATGTTTCAGGAACTGTGCTAATGGGTGAAAGTCCCCATCAAACTTGTCCACCAGGAGGGAAAGATGGCAGATCTCATCAGTCATGGCATTGGAAACCTGTAAACACAAAACAAGAGCTTACTCTTCCAGAAGACATAACATGTATATATCAGATACTTTGCTTTCAGCAGTCAGCTGTTATTCACCCATACAGGACCTGTCAAAGAAAATAATGTAAACCCTTCAGACTAGTATGCCAGCCAAAGTGGTTTGCTTGCATGTTGGCTGTGAATAAATGTGCACAGATGACCACAATTACTGACACACTGATGATTCAGAATGGCAATATGCCACAAGCAGCCAGTCAAAGCATGCTGATTATAACACACAGGCCCTGTAATATGTAATGCTGCAGGCATGTGACAGCCAACACAGTGAACCTGTGTATCACAGAAAGGAGAGTGAACTAAGCACTCCTTTGCATTCATTATTCCCCCAGCATAATAGGGTAACCTTGAAAAAAAAACAGGCTAATCAGCTGAAAAATAATCAGTATATACACACTACTAAATTGAAAAAAAACAAAAAACAAACAAACATGCAAGCCTGTGGCTACTCTTGCAGCAGAATGTAATCCTCACCTGTGCATTTACCACCTCTGTGATGTGCATTATCCGTTTCCTGACATCTTCACTGAGGATTTGCATCTGACACTGAATAAACTCCAGCCTGTCCATTTCATACTCCCTGTATTCTATTGCACTCACTCTGAAAATGCCCAAACAATACAAGTCAACGGATGATAGTGTACAACCGGTATAGTATCATATCTGATTCATATGTAATACTATAGATCATAGTTGATGAACACTGAATTTTAAAAGGTGTTTGTTATTTTAGATATACTGCAAAAAAAGATACAGAGCACTAAGGTTTATTGTTGAAATGTAAAATAGAAATATATTCAACCAAAATAAAAATATGGTATTTATTAATGAATAAAGTGCATGCAATCCTACCTCTTATCAGCAGACTGGATGTTTATGGAATCCATTATGGCTTTCACAGTATCTGTTATTTGTTTAGCTCTGATAGTGTGATGTTGAAACTTTGTTTTCACTGCTGACTGCGAGATACACTCCTGTGGGGTCCAAGTCATAACACATTACTGTGATCCCCTCCAAACCAGTCAGGAATAACAAACGAGTAGATGGCATCGAGCAGCACCAGAGGAGAGGCCTTGCTGCTGCTCAAATGAAACGTAAATTAACATAAAAGTGACTAAAACTGAAAAATAAGACGGAATAATGCAGCAGCAGGCCTGTGTCCTCCCTACAGTCTGCATAGCACAGTAATGTGCATTAGTGATGTGAATAAAAAAAACAAAGCAGGGGAGACAATTAAATTAATAGGGTAAGCTATTACTGTGAGAGAAAGGAAGGTGTATGAGACGTGCGATAAGATTCCAGAGCATCAAAGCAATTAAAAGATATTGCAATATTGTAGCGCGTCTTGCCTAACATGCTCAGATAGATCTAATACAGAATAACCTAGTTTGTTGAATGACTACGCTGTTCTGAAGCTAGTGGCAACAATGGCAGAGCCAAAAACATACATTAGCTTGATCTAGAATTACAAAACAATTGTTTCAAATAAGATACATAACAAATATTAGATACTAAACTAAAATGTTTTTCTGTATAGCCATCTTTAACTTGGTATGGAATTCAGATCTATTACATTATGGTCCATGTATAAAAATACTTTTTAGTATTCTTCCTTCTTGTTCTTTCATTTGTATTCTACAAAATCAGGGATAAATGCAGTTTAAATATGAGGCGGACCATTATAAACCCCGCTTCATATATTTTCTGTAAATCTGGTCATCAGGTATGGGAATAGGTGGATGCCCCATATTTCACCTAAAGTAAAATTAAAGTAAAACAGGATATTCAAACTTAGCACATGCTGAAAAAAAAAAGGTTAGCTTCAGGGAAAAAAAATCGCACGCAAAACCTTCACAGCCAGAAATACAGGCACATGAAGCTATATGCAAATCTTGACTTTTTTGTGAAAGGCTGCATTCTGCTTTCTGAGCTGACCTGTCAGTCAGTTTGGCCACACCTCACATTGAATGACCAATAGGAGGCTAAAGTGGTAGCACAAGCATGACCAGATTAAACTTTTAACTGTAGTCAAGATCTGCATGCAGCACAGGTTGGTATGGACCCAGACAGCCTGCTGGGGGGGGGGGGGGGGATTGAGAAATAGCTATAGAAGCCGATTCCACACAAGGTTAGTAAATAAGCTTTAGATTTTCTAGTAAAATAAATTCTCAGGCAAGCACCAAAAGTCACACAATTTTACACTTTAGAAAGCGTTCTGCCATTCAGGGCACGTACTGTATTTAAGCAGTTGCATTGCCAAGGACAGTCTTGGAGTTCATGGAAATACAAATATCTGTACATCCATAGGTGGGAGACTGAAGTGTGTACGTCTATTGGGATCACATCACAGTCTTGCTATATTGTACTGATGATTTACTGGTGGTGTGCAAGCAAGTGAAGTACAAATTGTGGAGTTTCAGTGAGGAACTGTAAATCGCTTTTTGACATACAGATCAATAGAACAAAAAGAAGGATGGGATGTTATATACCACCATCACCTACAGCAAAGCCATTTCAGACAATGTTCTTCACACTACTAGTTATCACACCCTTCACGTCTTAGAGGGAAATGAGGGACAAGGCAAGTATAGTTGCTTTTTCTGTTCCCCCCTACCCAAAATCAGTGTTAAAACCCTTGCACTGAGTAGGGATGCCCACTGCAAGGGTTATTTATTATTCCCTAGAGATCAGCTATTGTGAGGTGCCCAAAAATAACCTTTTCTGCTTTTATATTTGTATTTGCTATCAGCTAACTGCATCTCTAAATCTTTGAGGCTCCATTCACACTAGGGCGTTTCAAATTGCGGGCAGAATCGGAGTGATTCGGCCCGCGATTTGAAAACCCGTTATCAAAATGTGAAAACTTGCATTCGCGTGTTCAGGTGCTATTAATTTTAATGGCACCTGAAACCGCGCGGGGGGGGGGGTATTTTGGCGCAATAGCGGCGTGGTTTTCCACATGACAAAGGCGTCGCGATCACGCAAACAAAATCACGGGCCTCCCAAAATCGGTTCTCAAACCTTTTTTTAAAGTTTTCAAATCGCCTGATTCCATTCGCGATTTGAAAATGCCGTAGTGTGAATGGAGCCTGACAGTTTTCACTGAAGGTAAACTTGTTTCACCAAGTGCTTAGTATATATTACCTGCTTTGCCACATGCTTACTTTAAAAGTGGAAATCTCTTTAAAATAAAGCCAAAATCTAGATTAATGCAGGGTAACTTTTAAAATTAAATTTACAGTATGTAATGGAATGTTAAAGTAAAAGACATAAAAAGGAAGAAGCACAGAAAAAGCAAAAATTATTGTTCCCCAAAGAAGTGAATCTAGAGGTCAGCAATGACGAACAAGAGCTTGGAAAGTGACCGCACACTGTGGGAGCTAGATTAGAAAGGAGCAGACATTCAGAAGGGACTAAAACAGGAAAGAGGTTAGTAACTGCACAGCAGGGAAAGTCACAGGTTAGTTCAGAGAACGTCTACATTAATTGCTAAGAAACGTCTCACATAGGAGGAAAACTACATTTTATAGCAGGAAGGATGAAATTACACATTTTAATTACCAGCAACGTACAAAGACCAATTTATAGTCCAATAACTTTTTTTTTCTCAACATTTTAGTCATTTAGAAATCATTTGCCCATTTTAACGTTTGGCTTTTCAACACTGTTTTTTTTTTTTTTTAATGGTGACTTTTCAATTTGATTGTCAGAGTTTTTGTCCAAAATATTCAATTGGGGGGGTGTTAAGACTGATCTCCATGTTTTAGTGAAGATTTAAGTGGAACTGCACTGCACCTGATCAGCACAAACCAAAATTCTATTTCATTTACTTTTAATATTCAAAGCAAACTCCTCCATCAGTCTGTCTCCATGATTTATTTTGCTGAGAAATCACTTTGAAAAACACCCCCTGGCATTTAAGGGCAGATGGTTCATGTAGCATTTACTTCCTGGAATCCATCTGCTCTTAGGTCAAGCATAGGCTGAACTGAGAACCCTCCCTCCTCTCCTGAAGACTCCTAGGGATTTATGACATCATTTGCCTACACATGATAACCAGGAACGTAACTAAAGAAATGTAAATAAAAAAAAAAAGTGTAAAGCAAGTAAATATGATATACTTCCTTATTTATTTACTAATGCTAGCAGGATAAGGATTACAAATAGTCAGTGATGACAGAGAGTGAAGTTCCACTTTAAATAGCTTGTAAGGACTAAGCTCGAGATCAGCTTTAAGTTAATTTCTTTTAATTTAACCTTTTTAGGCTGCAAAATGAATACAATCCCTCATTCTTTATAACTAGGGCATTACATGTGTGTCACCCATTCTATGGGTCATGTGACTAAAGCGGGAATTTGTGAAATGTGGCACTACCCGGTTACCTTAAAGATCAAATGTAAAAAAAAAAAAAAAAAAAAAAAAAAAAAAAAAAAAAAAAAAAAAGCGCTGACCATTGTCAAAATTAGAAATAAAACAGGGAGTTGGCAGCTGTTATGGTAGTCATGCACTAGATGAAAAATTGTTCAAAAATCTGTCATTTGGACTGTTTGCTCGTTTTTTTGTCCAGTTAATGGGCACAATTCGAAAATAGTAACTTTTTTGGCAAAAAAAAACTGCTGCCGAACAGACGGTAAATTTGTTTCTTGTCAATTAAAAATCAAACTCTTGGTACTGCGCATATGTGACCCAGAAGCAAAAAACAGACAAAAACTGATTTTATTACTATTGAACGATTTATCGTTCAAAATTTGGTCATTACATGATGGCAATATAATGTGCTCTCATGACCATGTGTTCGTGTTTCGAAGACTCATTCAAAAGATTTTTCAACTAGTGTATGGCTAGCTTTATATTTTAGAATGCATGGATTAAACAGTTGTGGGGGAACTGCTGTGAGCACTTAGCGTTTACCAAATGTTGTTTGTCTGTATTTATAGTACCAAGCACAGCTCCAAATAATTTAGCATTTACAAAACATAATAATGCATTTTTAGTCTCAGCAACATTTTCTCTATTGCCAACCTGACCAAGTGGTTCTGGCTGCTGGAAGTATTGTAACCCCACACATTTTTCCTTTAATGGAAAGCTTTGTAATCTTCATAAAACTACGATGGTGTTATATGATGCTACCATTTTAGCCACAAATAGAACTTTGTGAAGTTATTTTTTTTAAATGAAAGCAAGCACACCAGTCCAGCAACTTAAATGCCTTTGCTATGATTTTAAATATGTATTAATTTACTGTATTTTATAAATGTATGGGTCTTCTATGCTGAGCCCATAAAGTGTGGTTTGTTTTTTGGTTTGGACTAGATATTCTTCAGTCTACAAACTTCTATTTTTGTATTCGTTCAATGTGGCATGAGAAAAATCACTGTAGTTTAATATTAAAATGCAATCTGATTACCAGGTATGTGTCTCTTCATTTTGTTAAGATAGGGATACTTTTACAATTTACATTTCTTCTGGATGCACACAGATGACAAAAGCACAGTGAAAACCTTCTGTTCCCATGTCCAACTACATGGCTGATTCAGCCCCAAGAAGAACCATATACTTGCAGATATGGAACGTATATCTACATAGGCCTTGCATCATGAGCAACCAGCCCTAAGCACAGGGATGTGAGTTGTGAGAAAGGATGGGATTGTGGCAGGAGCACTAACAAGATGGAAAGAGGGATACAGAGCTGTGTAAAATGGAGATGTGAAATCCCTTTATCGGATATTGTTTTACACTACAACAAATTCCGAAAGCATATGTATGTTGGTTAGGATGCTGGTTAACTTTTTGTCAAGGACTGTAGCTGGCACACCCAGGGGGAGGGGGTAAAAAGAATACAATTTTAAAGTGAACCTGTCATTTATTTTAGACCTTCAAAAGTAAACATCCTGCCTCAGGGGAGACACCACAAGGTGAACACTATTAGCAATATTATCAATAAAGTTTCTTCTGTGTCCCTCCTAATTTGTTTCTAAGGCCAGTCTTCCCCTAACTTCATTGCCAAGCTCTGTCCACTGCAATGCCACTACCTCAGTGACCAACCATAAGGGCACCTTTTCATTGGATGGGGGATGGCTGTTTGCAGGTTTTAGCCTTGCAGCCAGGACCCAGTGAAACTACATCACAGGAAAGCACAGATAAGGCTCGTTTGCTCTATGGCAACTTTTAAGAGTTTAAAATAAAGCGCAGGTCCACTTCTGGCCTGATAACACCATACACTTAGCTGAAGTCTACGATAACCAGGTAGAGCTCACTGTACCTCAAACAACTTCTCGAACCTCTGAAATTCCAGAAACCTGGTCTGAAATCCTTCGGCAAGAGCACCACCTTTTAAACAACAGAAAACATTGTGAATGCAACATGAAATGTTGTGTGAATATCAACAAGCAGAGGCTTTTCTTGGGTCAAATGTAATCCAGCACTTTGGTTGGGGGGCGGGAGAGTCTTAATGTTCAGAAAGGACAATATAAAAGGGAGACTTATGAAATGATAGATGCTAATATATGTTAATGAAGCTACTGTTACAGAGATTCTCCAGAGAAAATTAAATTCTTTGCACACACTCAAGTAGGCTGTTAAGGTTAACATCAAATTTCAAACCCGTTCACAAGCAAGAAACTGCCAGCAACAGAATTGCTACAAAATGCGGAGAGAAACTTACCTGCTTTCTATGAACTCAACAGGAAAGCAGGAAGTCGCATGTTGATGACATCGTGCCACATTCAACTTTATTAAACCCAGACAGCACACTACAGCTCTGCCTTGGACCTCTCCACTCTAAAAATGTCCCCCAATACAGGCTTGATCACAGAGTATTCTGTGTCGCTCTCTAGAAAGGTTTGGTAGCGAGGTGTCTATTGCTCACTATTTCAAATGCTTTGAAACAAACAGGATGGAAAGAAAGCAACGCCTTACTCATTCAGCCAGACAGGGAGTGACACATGCAAGCAGGTGAGTGTTTCATTGCCTGTGTGTGTCCTCAAAAGTGATCCTGCCACTGAGTTATTGCCAGAAACAGGATTGTTGCAAGTGGAACATTAGCCCAGGAGAGCTGAGGACTGTCTTAAGTCTCAGCCCCTTTTCTAAGATCAGATGGCACTGCCATAATGATTCAGGGGCCTGTATAGCCATACAGAAAACAACACTTGCCCTAACAAGTAGTCTGGCCTAAGTATGGCTGTTCTCTGATAAGGTCTCACACTCTTGCCAACACAGAACGTAAAGTAAGACATTTTTAACAAATACTTGCGTTTCACCTACCAGCCTCAGGCATTCCTTGTGCTTTGTGCATTCTGGCATTTAGAACTTCTTTGGCAGAGACAAAAAATATACGGTTTTGTGCCTCAGTACTATTTACAACTTTGAGCTCATCCACCAGGAAAGACTGACACCTCTCAGTATGTTGTTTTCGTACCTGTACATGGAGATGTAATGGATCAAATCCGCCATTCAAAAATAATTTCTTAATATATTATAATCAGAAGGCAGCAAACAAACCGTTCAAGCTGGTTTATTTAAAAAAGCAACACATTTTCTTTGGTCAAGCATGAAATTACTGAAATTAAATATATAATATATGTCTATATTAGGTAGGGGAAATTTTTAATCAAAGTAAAGGCATGTTCTCAATTTCAAGGTGGATAAGAGAAACAAGGGTGTACTTACATCTTCCATGTACTCCGGTTCTGATGCAGATGCATCCCATCGATTATTTAAAATAAAAATATTGGGTTTAGAAAGTTTTTCATTTACTTTATGGAAAAAGTGTTTTTCCTAAAATAAGAGAAAGAAAAACCATTAACTGACTGTCAAGCTTTATAATTAATGTAGTCGTAAATTTATAGTACATGACCACTCAAATCTTGACAGGGCTTACACTCTAATGGCAAGCATCATCTGTGTAATTTGCAGTTTATCTAAAGTTTTGCTTTATCAAAAAACAAACACAAAGCACACCACTACTAGTAAGTTACCGTGTTCATAAGCGTGGATTCAGAGTTGGCCACCAAGACAAAAACATCAGCATCCAAGCAGAACTTATCAATCCAGCTGTCAAGTTCCGTGGTCACATCTGTTCCTGGACTGCACAAGGTACAAAAAAAAAACAAAACATGTTACTGACATTGGCTAGGTATCCTATAAAAACTATTTCTTCTAAAATAATTATTGATCATCCAGAAAACATCATTATCTCGACTATTGCCATCAAGAGGGCAGCATTTATTAGAAAGGCCATAGAACTCTGAATTAAAACCCCATTTCATTTTCGCTGGGGCCTGTAGGGTAAGAGGTAAAACTGACACTTTTACTCTGTTAAGCATCACAGGACCCTGCACACTCCACAGCACAGAACACCGATACATTGTAGAAGAACAATTAGTTCCTCTTTTAAGCTATTGGAATTGGTAGACACAGAGTAACATGTACACATCATGGCAAAGATACTGCAGCCCATTCTGTGAGTTCCATCATTGCTCTCATCTTACATCAATGACCAATGGATAGAATTCTGGCGGTGTGACTGCCTGGCAGTGAGAGGGGGAGGAAGACAGCGGATGGAGAGGCCGGGGGAGAACGATTCTGTAATGAGCGGAGTTCAGAAGAAGTAGCTAGTGAGAGCTGCGGGGGACCCAGGAGATCAACAGTCTGAGAAGTGCTGGTTTCCCTGTGGACCTTGGAAGAAGATTTCTACTGAACATTGTGGTGTTCTGGCAGCAAAAGCAGCAGTATCCAGAGAAGGGAGACCCTGTAAACTCAGGCTGCAACACCCATCCATCCCTTAAAGGGGACCTCTGGCTGATTGGATTGTCGTATAACCCAGGAGTATTTGCTGTGCTGCCCGCCACCTAGAGGGAGGATAATCCAGTACCCGGCTTACCTTGGTTTCCTTAAGAGGACCTTTGACTATATATTTATATGCGCATTTCCATTGCGCATCTGGTGAGTGCGCAATTTCACTACACCTACAAGCACAAGCACTGAAGCATTATTGCAGTTGGCATGTTAAGCACAGATTGACACCTTATGAACTTTTATCATTTATTACTATTTATTTATATATTATATTGGGTCACATAAATGGGCACTTTCGTGATTGTTTTAGCGCTGCACTTTGCTATATGAATAGGTCTTACCAATGACAGCACTGTTGAGTCTGCTGCACTGCTGAGTTGGAAAACACTATATTTGAGCTTTATAAAAGATAGAAATCTTTTAACCACGTCAATACTGGGCACTTTCACCCTGTTCTTGCCCAGGCCATTTTTCAGCTTTGATCACTGTAGCATTTTGAATGACAACTGCGTGGTTTTTATTAGACAGATAGAGCTTTCTTTTGGTCATATATAATTACCACTTTGTTATTTTAATTGTTTGCTTAAGAAATGAAAGATTTTCAAATAAGTAATTTTTCTCCTTCAGTGAAGTGCGCTGATGAGGCTACACTGATCAGCACTAATAGGCAGCACTGATTGGGCTGCACTTATCAGTGCCCTGATAATCAGTGTAAATGTCCCGTCAGAATTGATGGTTGCTGGCTCTCCTCACGTTGTGACAACGCATGAGGAAAGGACTGCCGATAACCAGCAAGTCTGTTTACAATGTGATCAGCTGTGATTGGACACAGATGATCACATTGTAAAAGGGCCACTGTTATTTGCCCTTTACCATGATATGTGATCAGCTGTGTTCAAAGGACACAGAGATCACAAAGCTTGCAAGATGCACACCCCTGGGGCCATGGTTCTGGGAGGGCATCTACAGGCACTCTCCCAGAACTGGACAACTGCACTGTAGCTGTCATTTGGCTATAGCATGATCAGGAAGTGGTTAAACTCTGATGTACCAAATACCTTCTATAATAATGTTTAACCAGGGGATCTTGGTGTACCTTATGCCCTCAAAATGTAAATGCTATCCCCAGCTCCAGTATATTGTTTGTATGAGAACTGTTTGGGTTTAAAATTGTATTTGAAATTTATTTTAACATCATGATACATGCAAATTGCAGAATGAAAACTATTACTATATATGTATAGTTAAATTAGCCGTTTTAAAACAATCAGTGGTCATACTGCAAAAACATTTTTACATTTTGTTCCCTTCTTTACAGTATATATGAAAATTAAACACTTTTGGAAAGACCAAACCAACAAATAAAAATGCTTGTTTGTTCTCCTACATGCATACAAATCACTTTAATATCATAAGGTATGACCGTTGTTAAATAAATCAGCTCATAACTGGGAAACCCCCTCTTTGACACCTGAACAAGTATCCACTGGAAGAAGATTTCCCCTCACCTCCTGAACTTTAACATTTTACATTTCTTATCATTTCTGTTCCAGTAACAACTGTCTCCAGCACTAATAGAGAGGGTGAACATCCCCAGCAGAGAAACAGACATTAAAGGCTACCTTTGGAAAATGTTACACTCATATTTAGGGTGTAACATGTTTCAGCTTTTGAGTACCTTTGAACTATCAAGGAATGCTAAGTGTTAGTTACGAGAGCCAGAGACTGATAGATTAAATTAGATCTACTTTACAGAACTAAAGACCAGGAAAACTTTGCCAAATACACTTTCACTTTTAATCCCATTTTACTATGTACTGTAATATTTTTCTGTAAATATTTTTTTATAAATTAAAATTTAGAGTTGTTAAACTGAACCTCTGAATTCTCTAAATCAGAAATTAGAAACATGCTGAGACCAGACTTAAAAGCAGCAGTGTGGCTTATCCTTCTAATGGGCCAACAGGAGTAAAAGAGAACAGCATCTGATACTACCATAAGTGTCTATACTTGTAACAGATGACTGGTATTTAGGCTTTCCTTTACTAGCATTATGCACATTCTGAAAGCAAAAGCAGTGAATTATCATTTGTTTGGCCTATATAAACAAAATAGTTTTCAATAGAAATCAATACCCTGGAAAGTGGTTATAGACTGATCATGTACAGGAACACCATTCAATAAATCCATTGAGCATAGAATCCATTATGTATAGAGCTTTGAATGTATTTTGTTCTGTTATGCTCAAAATGCACCAACCTCATCTTTAACCAAACTAGCTCCGCGGCAGTATTTTCAGCACATACCTGTCTACCAGGACCAGGTCATCTCTCAGAAGGGCACACTTTGTCTTTGGCCAGAAAACATGCACAAGGCATCCCACTTCCAAATCCTTATCCATATGAAGGGCATGAGCCAGCTGATTCACAGTCTGCATACAGAAATGTTATTATATAAAATTGTAAAAATACTGTTAAGAGTAGATGCCCACAAACATCTCTTCAACTGAATGTAATTATTACACTGTCTCCTATAGGTGATCAGGATGAATTATAAAGCACAGGTAATGTCATCTCTTTTTAGTTCCCAGGAATGACACTGTAAACGGATAACAGCCACATCTGCCTTACTACCACCTCAAACTTACACATCACAACCAAAATTATTATGATGCCTATTAGTGATGCACCAATATATCGACCGAAAATAGGGTTATCGGCATTTTGCTGCTGAAAAAAAAAAGTGGCAATAATAATAATGGTCTTTAGTGCGAAATCACATCCCCCCATCGACTTCAATGCAAATTGCGACCCCCCCATCGACTTCAATGCATAAATTTATATTCATTAAAAAAGTTTTAATTCATATTCATTTAAGTTCATGATATTAAAAAGGAGAAGTACAGCCAAAGCTCTTTTGGCTGTACTGCTCCAGTGGATCACAGGAGTGCAGTTAGTTCTGCACTCCTGTGACCCATTTTCAGTGACAATGGGCTGAAGCCGGTCCAGGCTGGGGAAACATCCCGACTTTAAAGTTGGGATTCCTTCCAGAGTCTGGAGCAGCACCTGGCTCAACCTCTCAGAGAGCTGCCAAGAGCCTGAGCCAGCTGCTTAATCCCCCTCCATAGCCCAGCACTCCAGTGAGTGTGGGGGAGTGGGGGAGGAGCCGAGCAGACAGCGGTGACTGAAAGTCACCGGTCTCTGCTCAGAGCGCCTGTGAAAACTGAGTGATCAGCGGTCATGTGATTGCCGAGTTCACACTCTTAGAGCCAGTGGGGGACTGATGCTGCATCCACCTAGGTAAATAGGATTTAAAAAAAAAAAAAGAAAAGGAAATCCCTTCTCTATTAAAAAGTTGAATACAATTATACATAAAAAGATATATTTATTTTTTTTTAAAAACTGCGAGTTTCAGATTGGGTTTTTGGCAAAATGCATCCCAAATTTTCAGATTTAGTCCAGAATTTTAACTTTGGTGAACCACTAATGCTTATATTTTACAAAGCGATTGAAATCTCTAGTACTTAATTTTAAAAATAAAAAACACATCTTTATTTAAAAGTTAGTAAAACAAAGGCAGGAGAGCAATGTCTACAAAACCTTACAAACGGAAAGAAAAATAGGACGACAGCCTAGAAAGATCATATACAGCTAATATAGGAGCACTGTATTAACATAGGAAATGACAGTACATATATAGCCACACCGAATCAAATGTTACTACTGAAAACATAAAAAAAGCAATGTGTTAGCTGTACCTGTTCAAACAAACATGAATAGTCATACTGATACTTTTTTTTTTTTATATATTCCAATGGTTTTTATTAATTTTTAAACATTTTATAAAACAGAGGCAATAAAACACGCCCCCACGCAGGGGCTATCAATTGCACAGAGAGAAAAGAAAAAAAAAAATGTGCAAAATAAAAAGAAAAACAGTGCTCTAACGCCAACAGGGCAAAAGGTACGCCCACGCTGGGGCTATCAATGGCACATAAGGTACAAAACATTAATGCAACTGACTAACAACTAAAGGCAGCTGTCCAGTCGAGAGAGAGAGAGAGAGAGAGAGAGAGAGAAAGGGGGGGGGGCAAAAAGCAGGGGTCCAAGAGCACCAGTATCGAACGCCATTACATCCCCAGGCTAGCCAGGGGGAGCATGGGAAAGGCATATTGCAGCCACGGCTCCCATATTTTCAAAAATTTACGGTGGGAGCCGTTGCGGATACTCAACATCTGTTCGTTGAGCATCATAGTAGTCATACGATCCCGCACCCCCTGAATAGGGACAAACGGACTCTTCCAGGCCTGAGCAATTGTTCTAGTGGCCAATAAAAACAAATAAGAAGCCAACTTCTGCTGGTGAGCCAAGAAGCCCGGTATGGGGCAATGAAGCAAGGCATACCGGGCATCCCGGTGTATGGAGAGATGAAACAAGGTGAAAAGGAGGCCAAACACACGAGACCAAAAGCGAAACAGTCTCGGGCATGACCACCAGATATGCAATACATCTCCACGATGGCCACAACCCCGAAAACATTGATCACTACAGGCAGGGTTAGCCCGGGCCAACCGAGCCGGAACCCAATACCAACGAAACAATACCTTATAGGCTGCCTCCAGTGTGGTCATATTAAATGAGCATTTAGCTATGAATGACCAGGCCTTATTCCAGTCCTCCGGATCCACAGCCACTCCCAGATTGCGTTCCCACTGAACAACATATGAAAGAGAATTATGCGACGAGCGTCTGTTCAGAGCTGCATAAAGAAGGGATATAAGGCCCGGAGCGCCCGGGCGCTGTTGGCAAAGCTGTTCAAAGGCATATTTCTGGTACGGGAAAGCAGAAGTGCCCCGCAGCAAGAGCAGCCAGTGTCGCAATTGAAGGTTTCGAAAGAATTCCGCCGGGGGGACATTCCGCGATTCCCGAAGAGAGTTCCAGGCGGGAAAGGACCGAGAAATCAAAAAGTGTCGCACCTGCGAAAAACCATTAGTCACCCACCAAGAAAACGCCTCCGGATGGTCTAAACCCGGTGGGAAAAGAGGGTTGTTAATAATTGGGAGCAAAGGCAAAAAAGGTGACATCAGGCCACCAGAGTAACGTACCGAGTCCCAGACTTGTAAGCCATGAAGTAACATCGGACTCAGTGCCATAGGGCGCAGGGCAGGGGGAAGCCATAGAAGCGTCGACGTTGCGATAGGGGCACAATTAGGTAGTTCCAACAGGACCCAAAGGGGGATGTCGGAAGAGGCGTGCAGCATAGACAGTGGGGCAATCTGGCTCGCCTGATAACACTTTGTTACATTGGGCACCCCAAGACCACCCTGGAGTCTATGAGCAAAAAGCGTATTTCTGGATACTCTGGGGTGCTTAATACTGATACTTTTCATGTAAATTGCTACCTTCTATACCACCCATTCCGACAACAGTTTGAAACTGTACAAATAGCAAAGAAGAAAAAAAAAAGAAGGAGCTACAGCATAAAACAATTACCAACATATTGCCCTAAACACTATGTACCGCGGACTATTCAGTTTGAATTAACCAAAATTATGTATTGTCTTATGTGTCTGACACAAGGCACATAAAAGAAACAATCACTGCTAAAAGCACGCAAAAAAAATGTGAATATATACATGTCATTATGAATTTGTATAATTGCTATGGACCTGAACCATTCAGAATATTAATGCATAAAAACAACACAGCCTATTTGTTTAAAACCACACTGGACTGAGCAGCAGGATGTAAACAGATGTTAAAGAAATGAACAGCAGTTGCCTGAGCAGTACAAAGGTGGACAGAACATTTGTAGTAGAAATCTGTCCTGAAAGATAAATATAATGCCATTGCTAATCTCCTTCTGAAAATACTAGTTGCAGGGCTCATTCCGGACTCAACTCTGATTTCTTATGATCAAGTATCCAACAGGTTAAAGAATATGTAAACCCAGCATTTCATATTCCTGATATGTGACTGCTGTACCATGCACTTGTTTAAAAAAGTATCCTGTTCTCTTTGTATTGCTTCCCTTGTTTGAAATTCCTGGTGTTCCTGCCAGTCCCCCTGCTTTCCTATTAAAAACTGACTACACTAAGCAGGAGAGCACAGAGTGGTCAGTTCTCTAGCTATGCTGGGAACTCAGTGTGCTCTCCTCTAATAATCAGACATGTCCTGACAACCCCAGCCACACACAGCCTATAACACGCACACACAGCCTATCACTGGGAAGATCAGTCTACTGTGGTTTCTTTTCCCCCAGCTCTTATGCAGCAAGGAATAGAGGAAATGTGATCACTTATGACAAAAGGGGAAAAAAAAAAAGTATTTATAATGTTTTTTTTTTTTTTGTTTTTTTTTTAATATCTATACATAAATGTTCTACAGTCAATAGATCTGGAGAATAATTTTTTTTTCTTTTGTCAGTTTTGGTTACAATAGGCAGGGGTTAAAACCCGTCAGGGTTTTGCTTGTTGACTTTATCTCACTGGGGTAGATTTTCACCTCATCTACCAAAGAAACGAGAGAAGTTAAGTTATATCTCAGCTTTTCTGTAAATGCACAGCTTGAACCTGCACACTACCACTTCCTATTCATTCTTAGCAGTTCACGATTTACAATGACTGCCCTAGAAAGTGAGATTTGCATAAACTAGAACTTCAGTTGCTTTTCATCTCTGGATCTACACACAGCTTTTTGTTTTGCCAGCAGGTAAACCCGGCTATCGCATTTATTATATGCTCAGTATGATTAGCCCAGGTTAGTCACAGGTTTACGGAAGAAAATAAATACCTTAACACTTTTCTTTTCTTCAGAGCCTTCAGTCATCAAATATGCCTTATCTCCATCTGTTCCCTCCACACTCAGGAAGCAGTTGGTAGTGTGTCCAATGCCACTGGGCAACACCCTGTCCCACAACATGGAGTTTATCACTGTACTTTTTCCACTGCTTGTCCTAAAATATATATAAAGAAAATATCATGATATTTTTATACTTGTTAATTCCAAGGAGTCCTCCTGCAGGTTTTGTAATCAGAAGCACCATTATTGTTACCATTACATGGCGCTGGAACTTACAGCTCAGTATATTTTAACAGGACAATTAATTTTTACAGAAAAAACATTAAATCACGGTGGAGGAAATTCAATTCATTCACCATGGTGGGTATTACACCATGGCATTGAGAAGTATTCCACTGTCTGCCAAAGCTGTCCTCAGTCAGGTATCAGTAATGCTGCTATTTCTGCAATCACACAGCGGAACGACTGTGGTACAATGAGCGGCACTGCTACTAGAGTAGGATATACTCCAACTGCAAGCATGGCTTAGGAGCTCTCCATGGATCCTACTAACCATAGCACAATTGTGGTTAGGCAAGCTGAATGTCGAGCATTTCCCCGTGTCCTGACAACATTTACAAAAGAACAATTACAAGCTACTGCTTACCTGCCAAAGAACGCTACCTTCATGTGCCTCCGTGACAAAACCTCACCAATGCCAGCCAGATTTTTCTTGAAACTCTGAATTTCCTTGAGGTCATATTCATTGGTTATGTTTTTTAATTCTAAATTCTGAGAGGTGTCTGTAAGAACACAAAGAAATGTGGACATATGAAATCACTAGGAATGCATGTGTAGCAAGTTTTCTTTTTTCAGGCTTCCAAACCCCCTTATTTTCACTTGGTGATTTGGCCATTAAAATACTTCCTATCCAATGATGACAACGCTGACTGTACGTAATATATCTATGGAGGAGTAGCACTGGTATTTTAGGCTGCTCTCATGATTTGGGCTACAAACACCTTACCCTCTCTTCATCTCCATTACATAGAAGGAAGTTGTTTTGTAGTTTACAGAAGATACAAGGGAAGGCAGATGACATTGTTTGAGATTTCAGTTCAATGCACAATTCACAGAAGTTACAAGCACAGTAGGATCAACTGGAATTTTTTTGTACTTGTAGAAAATGTACTTCGATGTGGTGGCTACATTTGTTTCCTTTTTGTTTTTCTTGGGCTTAGATGTTCTATTAGGTGACAAAATGGATGGGGATATGGATGAGATCATAGAGGAACAAATAGCTGCCAATCACTGAGATGAGGGTACAAACAGACCACATATGTTTGCAAACTCCAAGCGGGCTTTCATATGTTTTGCACTGAGGAGAGGCTTCTGTCTAGCCACTCTGTCAAAGCCCATATGGGTGGAGGGCTGCAGTTATGGTTGTCCTTCTGGAACTTTGTCCGATCTCCACACAGAAACTCTGAATCTCAGTCTCATCAGGTTCTTGGTCACCTTTCTTACTAAAGCCCTTATTCACCGATTGCTCGGTTTGACTGGGTGACCAGCTCTTCGAAGAATCCTGGTTGTGCGAAATAACTTCTATTTGAGAATTATGGAGACCACAGTGCTCTTGGGAACCTTCAGTGCAGCAGAAATTTTTTGTAGCCTTCCCCAGATCTGGGCCTTGCAATAATCCTGTCTCTGAGCTCTGCAGGCAGTTCCTTCGACATGGCTTTTGCTCTGATAGAGTATGCAATGTCAGCTGTGAGGCCTTTTAAAGAGAGGTTTGTGCCTTTCCAAATCATGTTCAATCAATTTAAGTTACCACCAGTAAACTCCAATCAAGGTCTAAAATAATCTCAGTAACGATCAAGAGAAATGGGAGGCACCTGAGCTAAATTTCAAGTTCTGTTGCAAAGGGTTTGAATACTTATGAAATTTTAATATTTTTGTTTTTTATTTTTAATAAATTCACAGACATTTCCAATACTCTGTTTTTGCTTTGTTGTTATGTGGTACCAAGTGTAGATTAATGAGAAAAAAATGAATTTAAACCAGTGTAGTATCAGGCTGCAACATAACAAAATTGAAAAAAGTGAAGGGAGTCTGACTACATTCTGAAGGAAAAAAAAAAAAAAAAAAAAAAAAAAATCACACACATACTTGCCAAAAGTATTGGGACGCCTACCTTTAAACACACATGATCTTTAATGGCATCCCAGTCTTAGTCCGTAAGGTTCAATATTGAGTTGGCCCACCCTTTGCAGCTATAACAGCTTTAACGCTTCTGGGAAGGCTGTCCACAAGGTTTAGGAGTGTGTCTATGGGAATGTTTGACCATTCTTCCAGAAGCGCATTTGTGAGGTCAGGCACTGGTGTCAGGGACAAGAAGGCCTGGCTCGCAGTCTCCACTCTAATTCATCCCAAAGGTGTTCTATCGGGTTGAGGTCAGGACTCTGTGCAGGCCAGTCAAGTTCTTCCACCCCAAACTCGCTCATCCATGTCTTTATAGACTTTGCTTTGTGCACTGGGGTGCAGTCATGTTGGAACAGGAAGGGGCCATCCCCAAACTGTTCCCACAAAGTTGGGTGCATGAAATTGTCCAAAATGTCTTGGTATGCTGACGTCTTAAGAGTTCCCTTCATGGGAACTAAGGGGCCAAGCCCACCCCCTGAATAACAACCTCACACCATAATCCCCCCTCTACCAAACTTTACACTTGGCACAATGCAGTCAGGCAAGTACTGTTCTTCTGGCAACTGCCAAACCCAGATACATCCATCAGATTGCCAGACAGAGAAGCATGATTCGTCACTCCAGAGAACATGTCTCCACTGCTCTAGAGTCCAATGGCGGCGTGCTTTACAGCACTGCATCCAACGCTTTGCATTGCACTTGGTGATGTAAAGCTTGGATGCAGCTGCTCGGCCATGGAAACCCATTCCATGAAGTTCTCTATGCACTGTTGTTATGCTAATCTGAAGGCCACATGAAGTTTGGAGGTATTTAACTATTGACTCTGCAGACAGCTGGCAACTTATATGCACCGTGTGCTTCAGCATGCGCTGACCCCGTTCTGTCATTTTACGTGGCCTACCACTTCATGGCGGAGTTGCTGTTGTTCCCAGTTGCTTCCACTTTGTTATAATACCACTAACAGTTGAGTGTGGAATATTTAGTAGCAAGAAATTTCAAGGATGGACTTATTGCACAGGTGGCAACTTATCACAATACCACGCTTGAATTCACTGAGCTCCTGAGAGTGACCCATTTCTTTCACAAATGTTTGTAGAAGCAGTTTGCAAGCTCAGGTGCTTGCTATACACCTGTGGCCATGGAGGTGATTGGAACACCCAATACATTTTGGCAATATAATGTGTGTGTGTGTATATATATTTATTTTTTTTCAATAATTATTATTATTTATTTGAGGGGGGGGGGGGGGGTTGGTCCTTTTAAATTTGTTTAAAATGTTCTTATAAAATTATTGCTTGAAAGTTATTCCATACATGGGCTTTTGAACAAGTACCCACTCTTACCTTCTACAAAGGTAACTCCATCACCGATATATCCCACTAGCTGGTCAAAAATAGATGTAATGGCCTTCTTTGCCTGCACAAAGTGCTTTAACGGGGACACACTTGTTTCTTCCATGTCTTTTCCTGTGCAGAAAACAAATAGACTGCTAATTAAGCACACAATAGTAGGGTTATTTCTACAAAAATATAAAACAACAATATTAATAAAATTAGGGTAGAACTGAAGGAAAAACTTTTTTTTTTTTCATTTAAATATAGTAAGGTAAGGTTTATAACTCCTGTCAGTTTTCTGAGGGGGTTTTGCCATCTGTACCTAGTTTAGGAATCTTCCTTTAACTTCCTGTCTCACAGCCAAAAGCAGGAATTGAGACAAAATCCCTCCAAAGTAAGGAAAATCCCTGGTATTCTCACCAGGGTCATCAGAACCAGCATCCTCAATGAAAGATCTCCCCTCCATTCCTATTTTATGACCACTCAAAATCAGATTTTTTTTCTCTTTTACCTTTTGTGATAATGGTCAACAGAACATATAGAGAGGGTGAATCTTCCTAATGGGGACACAGACAGCAATAAAAACCCAAAAGGGGTTTTAATCCCTCTCCACTCTAATCTAAAACCTAAAAGAAAAAGTTTTTCCTTCAGTTATAAATTAGCAAAGCCGTAAAAAAAAAAAAAAAAAAAATATATATATATATATTAGTCCACAATCTGAAATAATCCGTGATTAAGTGATACAATAAAAGAAAAAAGAAATCCGTGCAAAAGAAGAAAGTCCAAAAAGAAATCTATATCCCAATCCTCACCAGATATGATGGACTCCTAGCCTTTAGAGCTTTAAAGTCAAAAAAGCTTATTACTGGTGAGATGTTCTGTGTATACACAGAGTATTTAGTGCTGGCCCCGTGCCTTTAAAGTGCACTTTATAAAGAGTTTTGAACAGATAAGACTTTTTAACTTTTTTTCTAAACCCCGGAACGGATTAATTGGTTTTCAATGCATTTACAAATTTTTTTTTGATTTCTCGGTCAGGATCAAAAGCACCACTATCAACCCATCCCTGCATGCCAGGGGTAACCTTGGATTCTGATCTTTTCAGGCCCATATACAATTCCTGTCAAAATCATGCAGCCTCAACCTCTGCAACATCTCCAGAATACACCCCTTTTTAACCAATGATACCCCAAAACTCCAAATTCACTCCTTGGTTATCTCTCACCTTGACTACTGCAAACTCGCTCCTCATTGGCTTACCTTTATATAGGCTATGCCCCCTCCAGTCCATCATGAATACGCAAAATAAGAAAAAGGTGCAGCGCTAAAAACCAATGATAAATCAATAAAATGCGAAATATATATATATATATATAATATATATATATATATTATTATATATATATTATATATCCAACTCACATATAAGTGACAAAGTGCAGATATAATGCGAATAAATAAGTAAAAATTATACATCAAAGTGCTGTTAGAGTGACAATGGTGAGCACTTGATGGTGCTAAATGTCTATCAGAAAATATAATCAGATATATAATCGTAGGAAAGTTCATAAAATTGCTAATCGTGAAGATCCATCAAATAATCTCAGGTAAGTGCTCCGTATGCTCAATAATTATCCAGGTGAGGTGCCCTTAATATGTTAAGATTACGCACTCACCAGATGTGTAATCATAATACGTATTTGTATATATGGTGTTGTCTGTCGGAGGTCCCTTTAAGGAAATGAGCAGCCTGGTCTGGTCAGAGAGAGATATATCCCCTTCCCCTGGGTAGTCTGCAGCACTCCAAGCCGTCCTCCAGAACCTTGAATTCTAATCTCAGAAACGCTTCTCTGGCCGCCGCCGCCACCTCCCTGGACTCGCTGTGTCTGGCTCTCTGACCAGACCAGGCTGCTCATTTCCTTAAAGGGACCTCCGGCAGACAACACCATATATACAAATGCGTATTATGATTACGCATCTGGTGAGTGCATAATCTTAACATATTCATGGCACCTCACCTGGATAACTATTGAGTATATGGAGCACTTACCTGAAATCATTTGATGGATCTTCACGATTAGCAATTTCATGAACTTTCCTACGATTATATATCTGATTATATATTCTGATAGACATTTAGCACCATCAAGTGCTCACCATTGTCACTATCAGCACTTTGATGTAAACTTTTTACTTATTTATTCGCATTATATCTGCACTTTGTCACTTTATCACTTATATGTGAGTTGTACATTTATACAGAGATATATATAATATCGCATTTTATTGATTTATCATTTTCTTTTTAGCGCTGCACCTTTTTCTGATTTTGATTACCTTGGAGGTTGTTTTGGTTACCTTTTGTTGCATTGGCTGCTTTTGGTCCTTAGCGCTCGCTTATCCTGCTTTCCATCATGAATACTGCTGCCAGGCTCATCCACCTTACCAACCGTTCAGTGTCTGCTACCCCTCTCTGCCAATCCCTCCACTGGCTTCCACTCGCCCAACAAATAAAATTCAAAATACTAACAAAAACTTACAAAGCCATGCACAACTCTGCCCCCAGCTACATCACCACCCTGGTCTCAAAATATCTACCAAACCGCTCTCTTCGATCCTCTCAAGACCTTCTAATCTCTAGTTCCCGCGTAACCTCCTCCCATGCTTGCCTCCAGTACTTCTCCCGAGCTTCTCCCATCCCATGGAACTCCCTACCTCAATCTGTCCGACTATGGTGTCCGTTTGTGAACCAGCGGTAATAGATCGCTGCTCAGTTCTCCGGCATTCTCGGAGAACACAGTTCTCCTGTGAATGCAGTTTATGAAGCAGTTCTCCGAACAAAGGGAGAACGGTCTCCAAACGCTGGAAAACGGTCTACAAACTCTGAAAAATGGCTCATTTTACTATAATCTCTCGAGATTATAGTAAAAGATCAGTTTACTAAACAGAGGTAAACTATCTCTGCTTAGTTTTCGGTCCCTCTGATTCTCCAGCTCTGGGCTGGAGAATCTGGAGGGAGAACACAGATCTCCAGAGAAGGGCTGACATGATCTCCTGAGTGTCATAAACTGTGAATGACCAGAGAATAGCTGAGATCTGTTGAGTCATAAACGGACACCTATCTCCTAATCCACCTTTAGATGATACCTGAAAGAGTCCTCTTTAAAAAACGTCTATCCTGCTTCTATCTAGTAAACTGCCTTTTATTTCCACCATCAGCTCATCCCCCCCCCCCACAGCTATTACCTTTTGTATCACTCAACCCTTCCTCTTAGATTGTACGCTCTAAGGAGCAGGGCCCTCTGTTTCCTCTTGTACCAAATTGTATTGTAACTATTTTATGCCTACCTTCATTTAGTAAATCGCTGCGCAAACTGTTGGTGCTATATAAATCCTGTATAATAATAATCTTCTATTTCACTGAAACGCTGCCATGAACTACGCAGTGTCCTATGTCTGCATGAATGAACAGTGAAGTGGACATTCCTCCCACATAGCAGTTTCCAGATTTCGTTCTTACTACATGTAAGCGTAATTCATATCATCAACTGCACAAGATTCTTAATGAGTCTGCAAAAATCCAATGGCAATAAAGCAAAGCATAAACTACAATTCAGAGTAGTGTGTTTTGGTACCACAAACATCAGTTGATTTTGTTTACCAGCTAGCATATTCCACAAGTGGTTGTCCTTGGCAAGGACAGACAAGTGGTGTCACTTACTTCCTGGTAACATTCCCACATATCTGTGCCTTTGTACATAACTTACTGCTTGACATTACACAGTAACTGGATCAGGGAAATGCTTCAGAAGAACTGGTAAACATACAGTAAAGCAAAGTAGTATTTTACTTTGCTACGCAGGCATAGCAGAATTATCATGCAAAAAAAAAAGCAGACAGTAGCAAATGCAATAAAATGAAGGCTGTCCTGCAAAATCATTAAAATGTTAGGCTCAGCTCACTCCTGAGTAGTTTCAAATAATTTTCTAGGAGCACTTCAATGTCTAATGTGAATTCATATTGTATTCTATGGTGCCTGTTCACACCTTAGTGTCGTGTCACTTGAAGATTGAGAGCACAAATATGCAAAAAGTGCTGCATTTTTTGGGCGTCAAAGTGAGCACCTGAAAAATGTTTTTTTGTGCGATTTTTCCTAGTAACTAGCTTTCCATTTGCTAAAGTGAAAACATATAACCCTGATAATGTGTGTATAAAAAATTGCCCCATGCTTTGCTGGGTGCTACATGCACCGTTAGAGGGAATTACTATTCTCCTATGCATAAACTATTTCCAGCATGCTAGAAAATGCCTTCCATTGACTACACCCTCCATATAATTGCTACTTATGCAGTAGATTACAATCACAAAATCCCAATCACAGGCCCTCAGGCATATACAAACTAGGGATCACTTGGTTGTCACAGACAATTCATATACTGCTGCAAATGTTCACATGTATCATCTTGATGAAAAGGTGAATACAAATTGAATATTGCAGATAGATTTAAATTGAACTCCAGGAATTTAGCCATTTTGTAACACCTGCTGGCTTACTAGGAGTTAAACCCAGTGAGATACATGCCACCTCATGGACGTCTCTCCTATTTACAAATGACATCTTTACTGACTGCTGGGAGTAAAGCTATTCTGGGGCTCTGACAAGAGGGGCACGGTCTTCTCATACCCGCCCCTCTCCTCCACTGTCCATGCACAGAAGACTTTGTATTTTGTGAATGAGTTCTTTGTGATTGGGCAGGTATAGCGGCTGTATGTGACCCTGCAGCTTCTGGAGCTGAGACCAGAAGGTCCAGCTTCAGAGTGACAGATGTATAACGGCAGTTGTACTTCCAGCACTCAGTAAAAATAAAAATTGCAAAAAAAAAAAAAGCAATAAGTCCACAAAATATCTAAAGAAGAAAAGCAAGTGCTAAAACCACCAGCAGCTATTGCACCAATAAAGGCAACCAAAAATAACCTTCCAAAAAGGAGGAGCCGTACACAGTGATGTCACGCCACCGAGAACACGAGGAGGTCCGGCAGCCATCTTTTTGGATTCTCAGATGGTCAGTGTGATATGTGTTTATACTTATGTTAACCTGAATAAATGAGCACTTTTAAAGAATA